TTTCTGGTTTGTTATTGATTCTTTTCAGGCTGATCTGTTTTATAATCTGAATTTTTTCTGCTGTCCCATCTTCTGCTGTATCATTCAATAGGATAAAAACAGATCTCTGGAAAAATTTCTATTCTCTCGTCAAACTCCTTCTTCCACAACAGGATCTCAATCCTTTAGAATGGTTTGCAGGCACCACAATAAGATAAATAAAAAATTAATGGTGATCATAATGCAGGTCATCACAAGTTTAAGACAGCCAGAACTTTATCATGCAATGCCAGGAGCATAAATTTTTCCTTGATTCTTTGCAAGATCTTACAGTGTGTACAGCTGAGAGGGGGAAAAATATCTCAATCCTGATTAAGACCTGAAGTGTTTTCACACAATAAATTCAGTATATCTGGTAAAATGTTGAAGAAGTCTCACAGCCTCGCTTACTTAGAATAGCTGCAGTTATATGGTATGGTTACAGCCTCAAGCTGGTACAGTAATGTCACACTGCAGCTATGAGATACTTGATCCCCCTTGCTGTTTGAAAGAACAAGCCCATATAATCTCAACACTGCCCTATATAACCAGTACATTTCTTTGCAGTACTGGTATTTCTAAGCAGCAAATTCTTTCCATGTCCCAAATGCTGTGTTTATTTAAATCGTCACAAGTGTACACACTAAAAAGTGGCTGATGAGAGCCTTCATAGATTCTGTAACTTCAAAGATTGATATGAAGTGGTCTATAAAGTTCCTATTCTAGATATAATAATAATAACAATGTAAAACTTTACAGCCAAGGCCCTGAAAAGTTAGAGTGCATCTACTTATGCAACAATTTCCAAAGCAGCAAGCTCAGGAAAATAATCACTGTAGCTTGTTTCCTTTTGAAGATATCTCTGGGTTTATAGAATAAAAGTTAGCCACACAGTTAATTCATTGTCTAGCTTTCCCCCATCAACTTTTTTTCCTATTCTGTCAACAAGAAGAAAGAAGTTAGATAAGCACAGTAAAAGTCTGCTGTGTTGCTTTTTGTGTCAGCTATGCAATGGAAAGGAAAAAGTACCAAAAAATTGAACAGGGGTCTGACAATGAATTGAATTGTACTTAACCAGGCCAACAGTGCTATAGTGGCAGTTACCCCAGCCTAACTGATATCCCTAAGAATTCATGAGATATCTCTAGAATAATTTCAAGAAAATACTATTGCCAAGATCTCATTTTCAAATAGGGAAAAAAAAATAAGTGTGTGGAAAAAAGAGGTAAATAGGTAGAAGAGGGGAAAACTGCTGTATTTTCTTCAGTGTCACCCTAATCTCCATTGGTGTAAACAATGAGAAACTTGTGGGTATGACATCACTGCTACATGCAACATAAATAAAAAAAAAGAACCAAAATACTGAACAAAAATACTCTCTGCTAGAGAAAGACAGGTTGGACCGCACTCTGGGCTACAGGGAACCCATTTTTACTCACAATAGATCACTATCAGTGTGCAGTTAAAATATAGTAGGGGCCGTGTTCCAAGGCAGCAAGAGGAAAAATAAATCAAAAGTTTGTCAATTGTCATAGATTACAAGAAATTCCTTCAAACACATCAATGTACATATGATATGTCCCCTCTGGGGTTCAACCCCCACCGTTCACAGCAAGCACTGTCACTGGAAAAAATACATAGAGAATTAGACCATAGCTGTTGCACAAAATGGAAGAAACAGGAGGAACAGGTCGTCCAGTTTAGAGATTTCATCCCAACGTGGCTGTATTTTATATAAATATATTCATATATTTGGCCTCTTGCTGCAAAAACTACAGTTAAATGGAATAGAAAGAGATTGAAAACATTAAAAAAAAATTAACAATCCGTGAATAAAATTTCCACACAAGTATTTCTTTGGACAATGTGACATCAGCATTCATATGTTATTCAGGGAGTAGATGAATAAGGAGAAAAGGATGGCAAGAAAACTGCAAAAGGAAAGCGAGATTACATTAATTATCCCTAGCCTTGTAGAAATGTACTGATCTGCCCTGAATTATTAACATTAGGCCTAACAAGTTTGGACAAATGGCTATGTAGGTCAGACTCACGTTTAGACCCCAACAATATCACAAGCTAATGTTCAGAAAGTATATAAAATGGAAGTGCAACCTCAGATGCATTATTAAAGAATGTGTTTTAAATGTCATGGGAAGTTGCATTAATTAATGCCACAATAATTAAGTTTTCCATGTAAAGATATTATTTCACATTTAATTCACCTGAATGTGTCAATATTTTACATACAACCTTTCATTTAATCTTACACATTTTGAGCATCCAGCTGCCTCTAATTACTACGCTACTTACTGATTAAAATACATATTTAACATATAGGACTACACAGATGCACGTGTGACTTCTGTATGCAGTGTCTTTGAAAACCAAATTGACATATTAGCTGTTGACAGATCAGTTAACAGTTTCCTAACTCAATAGGGAAAGAGTTTTCCCAATTTATCCTTTGCTTTGGTTAGACTGCCTTTTTAAGAACAATGATTTGTGCATCTTAAAGATGGATAACATAGTTAAGGTTTTTCAAAAGTGATTAGTGATTTGAAAGCTAAAACATTTTATGTGAATAACAGGCTCCACTAAAGACTTACCTTAAAAAAAAATCTAAAATAACCCCCAGAAAAACCAGGTCCCACAAAAAGGACCTCAAGATTGTCAATAAAATTTGAGAACCAAAAATCTCTAATTACTGTTGAAATTTTTCATTTAAATTTTCTGTGTACTGACAGTACTTTAAAAGCGAAGCAACTGTGTTATTTCTAGTACTTGTGGTCATGCCCCTAAGAGAAAGCTGTTCTTAGCTGTACTAAGGGCTGCCTGCTATCACAGTACCTGTGACCCTATCTGTGTCTAGGAAATGGGAGGAGACAAGGCAGATAGAGGGAGAGGGGAGACAAAGAAAGAGAAATGTAAGATTTGACTCTCACTGTCCACTTTTTTTCACCTGACTCAGAGGATTCCCTCCTTAGCGTTCAGCACTCACTGTGCCAGCTCTGACAGCTGCCTCCTTCTTCTGCCTCACTAACTCCATCATTTTGTTTATTCATCTGTCCAACACCCATTCATTTATTGGACTGATGTGTGACCATGCCATTTGTAACATTTCCTATTGCTACTCAGAGAAGTTGTTACTCTTGCCTTTCCATGGCCTTACTGATGGTAATATATCCATTGTGTTGGCTGAGTCTCAGGAGACCCTGTCTCCTTCCAGGTTTCCTAGTACTGAGGAGGTTACTTTGATTCTCATTAATATGCAATAAAGGGCTCTTGCCCTTTATAGTGTTAATTTATGATTCCTATCTTCTAAGAAATGACAATGAAAATTGTAGATCTTACATTAAACTGACAGATCTTTGGGTTTGTTTTTTTTTTTTTTTTTAGCAGAACATGTTTAAAAAGCATACACTATGTGAAGGAGTAGAGAAGAAAATACAAATAAAATAGGTCTTTTTTTTTTTTTCCTGACAGAACCAGATAAAATTAAACAGGTAACATATTTCTCTTTAAGTGTTGAGTAATTTGGAGAAAAGGTTTTGTTTGAGAGCTACAGGCACCCTGAGGCATCTGCAACTGGCTTTACCAGAACTTACTCAGCAGACTCATTGGCTTTGGCAGCAGTTCAAAGGTCACATTCTCACATGGATAAACTGTTCTTGAACAATTTTTTTCCAATATGTTAGGCAATGCATACATTCCTTCCACATCAGGCATGCTTTCCATGTGCTCTGCTCTCCTTGTGGCTACTGGGAAGATAAATACCATTTTCTGTCAGTGTTTCAGCTGCTTTCTCTCAATTATACTATTGTTCCACACTCCTGGTTTTTTGGAGGAGTTTTCTTTAAAAAAACTCCAGTGACATTATTTTTTTGTTTTTAAAATTTTCTTCAAGAATTTATCTATTTCAGGCACTCCGTAAAGGTAGGGAATGTCCAGTTTAGGCTTCTTCTGTCCTCCAAAATAGCACAGTGATAACACTGACTCAAGCTATAAATAAGAGAGGTTTTTTCCCTTTTAAAAGTAATGGAAAAACAGATGTGATAAAACTCTTCTGAGATCTTTCACTTCACCTAATCTGTACTTCTTCTTCATGGCAGAATACCCTAGAATGCACATAAATATTCATATATCCACTGAGGAATGGATCCCTAAAACATTTTTCTATCAGTATTACAAATACGCATGGGTCAAACACATCTTTGGCCAAAATATGGTTGTGACAGTCCCTGAAAAATAATTTCAAAGTATAGATAGGTAAAATGCTAACAGCTACATATATATATATATGTATATATATATATATATATATATATATATATAAATTCAGATGCAAAGTCTGGTCTCAATTCCAAAACCCAACTATTTCTTCATGAAAACCTGTCAAGACAATTTAAGAACTTAACTAAACTTAATATTAGCATTACAGCTAAAAGGACATATATAAGAGGCACTAATATTTATTTCTTCCAGACAATCCTTTCCTCCACTAAAACTGTTAATTTATTTAAAAAATAATTTATTTTAATAGTTATATGATATAACAGAATTCCCTAGTTGCTTTTTTTACAGAATCATATTCAGCAACACAGACAGAAGTTCTTTACTTTAAAGAAAACTACTGAAATTACTGGATTTCTGCATGTTATGACTTATAGCAAAACCTCACCACTGGCTAATCCTTAACTGAGAAACCTCCACAATCAGATCTACATTGACTTAATTCTTTAGGTTTTGTTAGCTTTGAACCTTAACTGACTTTTTAATGAAGACAGGTGTGTGGGTGGTGTGAAATGTAATAAAAACATACAGACTTCAGAAATGCAAATGGCACTTACTATGTTGCTGTGCATTTATCTCTTAGTTTTTCTGTACCACTGAGAGAAACATGTAAACACATGTATAGGTATTCTTCAGGGCTGAACAGTTCATGAAAAGGAGAGGAAGGGAGTGATAGAAATATTACTTACGCCGTTTGCAGCCACATTTTTTTATCCTTTTGGGATCTGTGATGTCATCATGACAGGCCTTGCAGTAAAAATATGCCCTGGAGAGCGAGAATGGGAAAACCGACACATTTCTTAATCCATATAAATGAAATTAGTTCCACATTTCCTCTTGTTGCAGTGAAAAATTAATGAAATATGCCAACACTAATTTCCTTTAATCTTTGAAAAGGTTTAGACATTTAAAGTAGGAAATATTTGCAGCAAGACCATTAATTTTAAACATGACTCCAAATTAGTGTTTCTTTTAATATATTTTTATTGAAAAGTAATTGGAAGAAGGGATGATAATTATGACACAGTGTATCAGTTAATTTCTCTTTCATTTTAGAAAAAAGAGCATCCAATAATTATGTCACAAATATATATATAATGAATTTGCTGTTCTTATGAGCTATACCAGGGTGGGGTTTTTTAAAGACCATCTAGCACCCTAGGCCAGTTCTTCAGTCTGATCACAAGTAGGACTTCATTTTAGTTACACTGAAACTGCAATGACATCACTGTGACATTAAATATCAGACATGATATTTGCAAAAAAAATAAAAAACAAACCCGAAACCAAATCAGAAAGGGAAAATCCACTCAAAATAAGTTCCTAAGGGAACATCTAAATAATATCTAAATCTTTATTCACACTGTTATGAGATAAATCCCATGACTGGAGTGTGACTGTCAATGCCTACAGGTTGTTCAGAAGAGACAGGAAAGGAAGGGAAGGTGGAGGAGTTGCCTTCTACATCAAGACAGGGATTAAGTGTGAAGAGTTGTCTCTGAAGAACAGCCATGAGCAGGTAGAAAGGCTGTGGGTAAAAATCAGAGACCAAGGTAACAAAGGGAACTTCATGGTTAGGGTCTACCACATGCCACCTGATGAAGGGGAGCCGGTTGATGAAGTCTTCCTGCTCCAGCTACAGAAGGCTCTTGTCCTGCTGGGGGACTTCAACCACCCCGACATCTGCTGGAAAAGTAGCATGGCAAGCTGTAGGCAATCCAGGAGACTCCTGGAATTCATGGGGGATAACTTCTTAAGCCAGAGAGCCTTACCAGAGGAAATGTGATACCAGATTTGATAGTCACAGTGAGCTAATCAGGTATGTCAAGACTACAGGAAACCTGGCTTGCAGTGATCATGCATTGGTGGATTTTGCAGTCTTGAGGAAGGAGTAAAGTCAGGCTCTTCAACATTAGGAAGGCAGTCTTTCAGCTCTTCAGAGGAGATTATCAGTGGGATCTCCTGGGAGACTGCCCTCAGGGACAAGGGAGTGGAACAGAACTGGCAGATCTTTAAAGAAGTCTTCCATAGAGGGCAAGAGCTAGAAATCCCCAGGAGCAGGAAACTGGGCAAGGAAGGCAAGAGACTGGCATGGCTGAGTAGGGGACTGCTGGTCAAACTAAAGTGCAAAAAGCAAATGCATAGGCAGTGGAAACTAGGACAGGTAACCTGGGAAGAGTATAGAGAAGAAGAAGTATGATTGTGGGTTGATGTAGTTGCCAAGCCACTCTCCATGATATTTGAAAAGTCATGGACACATTTTACCAATCCTTAATAAGAGTAGGAGGAATGATCCTGAGAACTACCCACCTGTTAGTCTCATCTCTGTGCCTTGGAAGATCATAGAACAGACCTCCTAGAAGCTGTTCTAGGGCATGTGGAGAACATGGAGGTGATTCAAGACAGCCAGCACAGCTCCACTGAGGGAAAATCCTGTCTGACCAACTTAATGGCTTTCTGTGATGGAGTAACTCCATCAGTGGATAAGGGAAGGGTTACAGACCTCATTTATCTGGACTTCTTTAAAGTCTTTGACATGGTCCCTCACAACATCCTTCTCTCCAGATTGGAGACTGATGGATTTGATGGAAGGATTGTTAGGTGAATTAGGAATAGGTAGTATGGTCACATCCACAGGGTAGTGTTCAACAGCTCGGAGTCCTGATTAGCATCAGTAATGAGTGGTGTCCCTCAAGGGTCTGTACTGGGACCAGTGTTATCTTTATTAAGGACATAGATAATTTGGATGACACCAAGCTGAGTGGTGCAGTTGACACCCTGATGGGATGCCATGCAGAGGGTCCTGGATAGGCTTGAGAAGCAGGCCTGTGGGAATCTCATGAGGTTTAACAATACTAATTGCAAGGTACTGCACCTGGATTGGGGCAACCCCTTGTATCAATCCAGGCTGGTGGATGAAAAGATCAAAAGTTGAGAAGGACTTGGGTGTGCTGCTGGATGAGACAGTGGACATGAGCCAGCAATGTGCACTTGCAGCCCAGAAAGCCAGTCATATGCTGAGCTGCATGAAAAGAAGCATGGGCAGCAGTTCAAGGGAGGTGATTCCATCCCTCTACTCTGGTCAGAGCCCATCTGAGGGTCTGGGGCCCCATGCACAGGAAGAACATTGACCTGTTCTAGCGAGTCCAGAGGAGGCCACCAAGTTGATCAATGCTGGAACACTTCTCCTATGAGAAAAGGCTGAGAGAATCGGGTTTGTTCAGCCTGGGGAAGAGAAGACTTTGGGGCAACTTAATTGCAGCCTTCCAGTACCTGAAGGGAACTTACAGAAAAGATGGGACAAGACTATTTACAAGGGCATGTAAGGACAGGACAAGGGGGAATGGGTTTAATTTGATAGAGAGTAGGTTTACATTAGATATTAGGAAAAAATTCTTGACTGTGAGGGTGGTGAGGCACTGGAACAGGTTATGCAGCGAAGTTGTGAATGCCCCATCCCTGCAGATGTTCAAGGCCAATTGGATGGGGCTTTGAGCAACTGGGACTAGTTGAAGGTGTCCCTGCCTACAGCAGGGTGGTTGGAACTAGACGATCTTCAAAGTTGCCTTCCAACCCAAACCATTCTATGATAATACAATTCTATTTTTTTTTGTCCTTCATATCTAAATAAAGAAGAACCATTTTGGTTTTGAACAGATAAAAGTAAAAATTTAAAATAAGAATATGCAATTAAGAAGATGAACCACCTAGGTTTCTATTTAACTTTGTTGCTCATGGACTTCCACTCTTCTATCAGAGGGCTCACCACTAGGTAAAGCACAAGGAGAACTAAGGAAGAGCAAAAGGTTAAACTTTTTACTTTATGTAAGTTTTTTCAAAAAATTCCAATTTAATAAATATGTATCAGAGTGCCCACAGGAGAGTTTAATCATGCCTGTCAAGTCAACATATCACGTAAGGCTGCTATGACACATTTCATGAGGATCACACACACAGCTGGCCTCTAGCTAGACAGATACAGTTTAGCAGGATTCTTGCTGGCATAACAAATTAAACATACTTTCTTAACCTGCTTATTTCCCTGTACTTGTCCATGTTCAGTATAGGTCAGCTCCCTGCCCATCTTCCCCTCATTGCATACTTAATATAATTTTTGGCAGCAAGAATCCAAGCCGCTGCTTTGCAACCACCCATAGATTTTGCTGAAAGTACTGGATGCTTGAATTGATACAACAGGAGGAACAGCAGGGAAACAGAACAATTTAAAGTCCAAAATATAAAAATAAAAATAAACAATATCAATACACAGCCTCTGATTAAACACATCCTTTGGCACTGCAACTAGGATGATCACTACCATTTCTTCTAAATTAAATAGAGTGTGGCCACCACAGGTAGAACTATAATAAAGGAAATAGAGATATAAACTGGATACCTAATTTAAATAGTTAAAAATTTATCTAAGTTATTTTACACCTCTGAATAACGACCCTGGTAGTTAAGTGGCCCATTCAGGAGAAAGAGAGCAGGTCTAGCATACAAGATATGAACCAGGGAATACAAATATAAATTGCAATGAAACCTCACTGAATGTTATTAACACTTCTAAAATCAATATAGCATGAAACTGCTGATGGAAGGTACAAGTCCTAAATGTAGCACACTTAATTTCTCTAAAAAAATTTCAGGAAGATTACTCTTTTAGGTTGTGACATTGCCTTATTTCCAAGATGCAAAATGTAAAATGAAAAATCCTTCTCTAAGCATTTGTATACTTGCTGCAGAAAGTTTCTGGTGTTCAAGATATAAACATTCCACCAAAGAGTGAACAAACTACCTCCAAGGAAATGAAAATAAAATATGTTTCAAACCATGAGTTGATGGCAAGATATAAGCCAGAAGGACAAAAATGCCTCAAATTTTTACAGTTTCTCCCCAGTACAGCTGAAAGCCCCTTTATTGAACAAGAACTAACTACCACAAACACTACCTCACAAAACTTCATGACATGAACTGGACATAGGTGCTGGGGAGGTGTAGGTTAGACATTAGAAAGAAATTCTTTACAGAGAGACTGATGAGATATTGGAATGGGATGCCCAGGAAGGTGGTGGAGTCACTCCCAGGAGGTATTTAAAAAAAGACTGGATGTGGCACTTAGTGCCATGGTCTAGTTGAGAGGATGTTGTTGGGTCATGGGTTGGACTCAGTGATCTCAGGTCTTTTCCAACCTGGTTGATTCTGTGTGATTTCTAGGGATCATGTTTCTGAAGTTCACTTCAGGACAAATGTCCTAGAATACCTTCAATCCTATGTCCAAAGCCAAGAGCAAATACTTGAAGTGATTGCTGTAATAAAATTATCATTCTATATAATTGGAGTGAATTAAGTGGATTTGAAGCCTATGGATTTCTAATCATAGTACTAACATTTAAATGAATAAAGAATAATAAAGATGTAATTCATATAGTTTGTGTTATATTTAAACACTCAACATTTTATGTGAAGCTATTCACCAAGGCACACTTGTTCCTAGGTATAATTGCTTCTAATGGGAAACAGTTGTTCTAAAAATGCAAAAGTGATTCTAGCAGGAAGAGTAATTAAACATCATATATTTCATTGTGGGATATATAAATATGAATAGCTTTAGACTAAGGGAGCTGGCATTTCTTCATTAACAAAAAATCAGAATAATTTAATTTGAATTTCAGGTATATAACATGATTAATTTTTCTTTATTAAAAATTCCCCCCCCCCTCCAAAACCCCTCAATTTTAGAACATTTTTCTGACTCTGATTCATAGCTCAAAAGGATGAACTGAACACTTTTCATAATTGGCTTTGTTAAGTGAAACACATCTGATAACCATTTGCTTTACACAGAACAGCTAAAAAAACGTGGTAAGGGAGGTAGGATGTTTCTAAACAAAGCCTTCTGCGAAAAGCCAGGCAGAATTGGAAATCTTGTTTCATGCTTGGTATTAGATGAAACATGATAGATGAACGATGTGAAAAATTTCCCTAAACACAGTCAATTTCTCCCTGTTAAAAATGTTATGCCATTTTTCTTGCAGTCTTCAAAAAAAATCATTGGAAGGTGCCTTAGAAATGAAAGAAAACCAGCACCTCAGTAAAGCAATATGAAGACAGTTCTGTGTATTCAATTGGAGAAAAGCACCAGAGAGGAAAAGAACTATATGCTGAAAGGCAGTGTACCTGAGGCAGTGCAGGATGCACATACTCCAGAGATGGTGCTAGAAATATGAGAGGACAGGAGAACTGCTGTTCTGTTCTATATGCTTTACCTAGTCAAAAAATATCTTAGCTCTTTCAACAAAAACAGAATTCAAGTTCTCTGATTTCACTCTTTTGATGTTTTGACTTTCTTTAAAGATTTGTGGCAATCTTGTATTGCTTAAGTATTATATTATCTAAAATCTAAAAATTTTAGAACTTGAAGTGTATCATTTGAATATTTCACCATTCTAAGTGCAGGATTTAGTTAAAATAGCAAACTCATGGAGAACATCAAGTAAAAATCTGATTCTTGATGGTATGACTAAAAATATACAGATTATGAGGAGGCAATCAGCTGCAAATATTTTCTTTTTTTTTTTTTTTTAACTCTTACAGACATTCAACAATCTTCCTTTTAAAAAAATATTTTCTCACAATTCTCCTTTGTGCCTTCCAAGCATATTATGATTCTAACAAACAAGAATAAACACATTTGGTCCTAAACACAATACCATAAAACTCCTTTTCATTCACCCCAAATGTACAGCCAAGTACAACGAGCCTGTGAATATATTTGGTTGGAATACTGTTGTAATTTGATTTATTATTATGAGGCCATAGAATTTGTGGCTTCATTAAAGAAAAATGACAAGAACATAAATATCATTTTGCTAATGCAATTACTGAAGGAATACAGTAGCTTGCTTATATCAAGTATTTGCTCAAGTCTACGTAAACAAGAACTCCTCTAAACCTGAAATTCAGACTAAACTGTAATCCCTGTCCTCTACCAGCCTCTTTATTTCTTTTCATATCTACTGCAAAATTATTTAATTTCCTTGATATTAAGGACCATAGTTAAGAAATTTACATGTATTTATGGTTGGTTCACTACAGTAACAACTCAATTCTCTCTGAGACTCAGATAATAGGGCAAATTGGGTGAGGCATTTACATGTAAAGAAACAAATTGAAATTAAATATATACGTTTAAATTTAAAGATAAAAATACATGGTTTACCTTTTTACTTCTTTGGCATCACTTGCAATGAAGAATCCTAAGGTACCTTCTTGAATCTTGACGTGGTTTCCAGGATTGATTAATATACTGCTCAGTGAAAAAAGAACAAAACCAACAAAAACATAAGTTTAAACTATTTTAAACTGAATGTTCTAAATTAACTTTATTTGATTTTGTTATAGGGGACCCACTAGTTAGGAAAGGCTGCAAGGAAATTTTAAGCCATTCTTCCTTGAAATTTCCAGTCAAATAACAGTTTCACATGCTTTTTACAAAAACTTTATTTGGAGACAATCACATGCCTCTGCCTATAATCACATCATGTAAGTGTTTACATCTGTTTTCTTATGTTTTTGCTTTAAATATAGAATACACAAAAGCCTCTCAGAAACATGAAGTGTGAAGCTGAGCATTGCTGCTTTCCTGCTCTGTCATGCAAAGTGGTGAAAAATTCACAATATGGTAAAAAGTGAAGAACCAGCAACCACCACTCAGTAACAACACATAATATGCTTTATGAAGCTAAACCCTTCAATGCAAATTTTTGCCAATTTCTAGTGAAATAAAAAGTTAATGGGACCCCTATCTGGACATACAATGTTATTCTTTAAAATAATAAATACACACATACACTCAAGGGGAATGGTACAAGACAACCAGTCACGACAGCTGAAAAAACATGAAACGAATAGAAAATTTTTTAAACACTGCTATGCAGCCATGAAACAAAAATAACCCAACCACAATGACAGAATACCCTCAGCTAAATTCAGTGAAGGAAATTATAAACTGCTATCAAGAAGTAAGGTACTCCACGTTTCTCTATGAAATATCTTCTTTATTTTCATAATAATTTAACTCTAGATTTTAGGTAAGGCACTCTGCAAAGTAACAAGCTAAATATGAATATACACATATAAATAAATGTAAGTATACTTTCCAATAAGTTTTATTAATGTTTGATACAACTAAGCTTTTGACTTCCTAAAACTTAATATAGCTTTTCACAAGTTCTCTCTTTTTCGTCTTTTATTAAAGCTTAGTTTTTCTAACTAAAAATGTAGTAATGGCATTGATGTGCAATTTAGAGTAAATAAAGACTACCAGCAAATTAATATCTTGTAGATTTAGCAAAAATTGATTTTAGGGAAGGATATATACAAAAAAATAAAAAAGTACATTTCTGAACAGACATAAATTACTAAACTTTGAAGGTCCAAAATCTTTCTTGTAGGGAAAACTGGTCTCAGTACATCTCTTATTCAATACGTTGTTTATTCTCTATACATTAGGAATAAATTAGTATGACAAAAAATATATCTGAAATATTAATAATGAGCACATTGTTTTGTGTAATTCCACATGCCCGCAAGGCCCTATGACAAGAATATGTAGGCTGCAAAATAAAGTGCTCATGAGTTCAGAAGTAAAAGGTTGGTCATATAGTCATAATTCAGCCCCCATTATACAGACATTATGATACAATTCCTAATTTAATACCCACAAACTACTTCCTTCTCACAATCTAGAACTTCATTCAGTCGTGTTTTACTGCTATTGCTTCAGGCATGGCTTCATGTAATTTATCTCTCTTTAAAATCAGCATCGTATTTTTCTTACGTGTTTTTCTGCAATGTTAATCACTACAGCATGCAAAAGATTCACAAATACATAATCTACTTTACAAGAAGAATGAAGATATAGTATTATCCCATTTTACAGAGGAAAGATTAAGTCACTATGAGATATAGCAGTTATTAATTTGGGATGCCTAGAGATGATCTTAGTTTCTAAGTGTTTATCATTACGTAGCTCCACATACACTTTCTAGGGACTTTTGCTGTAAGTAAGAAATCTCCACATTTCCAAAAGCCCAGCCTCTGATGCCCAAAATAAGGAACACTTAGTCGGAGGTCATCTGTGAAAGGTTTGGTTTAAATTATTATCTCACTCCCACACAGATATTCTTGGGCAGAGGCTCGAACAGAAATTAAATCTCAAGGAAGCATCTACCTAGATATCCTTCCTTTTCCTTCATTCACAATTTCAAGCTTTGTAACAAAAAATGAGAGGAGAACTACAGCAATTGGAAGATATCACCATGGAAAGCAGGTTCATCTCCCAGCACACTTTAGTAATATTTGCAAAAAATGAAATGTGATAGTGTAAATAACACATACGTCTGCACGCAGATAAGTGAGCTGAAATAAAGTTACACAGCTAAACTAGTATCATCTATCATCTCATATTTATCATCCAGTATCAGATCTAGTATATCTTTTGTTAGTCAATTTGGTTTAATGGCTGGACTTGCAACAGAAACATTTATCTTATGCAGTTTTAAAATGCATTTTCACAGGTTTTAAAATGGAGTAAAACAGACCAAAACATAAACAAACAAACCAAAGAACAAACCAACAGAAAAACCAAAACCAAACAAGAAAAAATCAAACAATAAACAAACAAAAATCCAATCAAACAAAAACCAAAACAAAAAAAAAGGAAATCGCCCCATAAATATTTCTTCATATGAAAACCAGTCACTCAGGTCACAAACATGTTGGAAAATGCATATTTCCTGTGCAAGCTTTTGTCTCTTGAGCCCACAGAGCACTTACTAGCACTAACAGAGATATCTGTACCAGCCATTGCTAAGGGAGGTGAGACATACGCTCTGCCAGTACTCACAGACAAAAGCTGAGAATGCCTGTCTTAAACCTGCGAGCTTACGTCAGCCTAGATAAGTCTTCTCAGGAACCAGGAGAGAATCTTTCTGCCACTAAATCTCCCAAATCTTTCTGCCAAAACTTGGTATCATGTCCATAAATGCATCTGTGCTTCAGTCTCCATGTTTCCCTTTCCCTGTCTGCTAGTCCTTAATCTGCCATTATGCTGAGAATTTAGCTGTTAAACTAAAAAATCTCCTACACATGCTAACCTCATTTATTTACTATATTGTTGCTTCTATTACAAGTAAAGACTTGTAATATAGTTTGGGTCAGCTATTTTTCTTAAGTACAAATGAGCACTGCTCTGTCAGAAATATAGTTTTTATTTCATTTGATTCTTTAATAACGTAACTATTACTGCTTTTCAGTGAAAAAAGATGAACACATTTCTTTACATAGACCCAGGTTAGTTTTTTAACTCAATACGATTCTTGGAGATAAACCATACCAAATAGTAAAAAGTCTTACTCAAAGCTCAACAACCCAAACTCCACAAACTGAGGTAACCATTAGATGTCTAAATGTTCTCTCCTCATAACAATACTTAAAATTTGACAAAGTAATAAGCAAATGAAGCAGTTCTTTTAAGATGCATGGAATATAATCCTAAATCATAAGTAACTGGCTTCATTTAGGCTATAAGGTATTTTGAGCACAATTTCGTATCTCGAGGTTTTCTGAGACACATTAAATCAATTCAGATGGGTCAGTGTATAGACTTTATTTTTGTCAGATCTTATACTTCATTCACATATACTTATTTTCACAAATACAAATAGCCATGAAATATAGATTTGATCACAGTTAATGCAGTATGACCGCAGCAGCAAAATCTTCCACAGGGAATAAAAATTAATTTGCCCCATCACTGCTATTGGCAGTTACAGCAAAACCTCATAAAGCTTTAGGTTTATATGAACACTTCTATATAACCAGAGCAAAATCATGAGTAATTTCTACTGAGTCTATGTGGATTTATTAAATACACTGCTTATTAAAGCAGGAACTGAATTTTTTCTTATGACACTTGTAGTGTCATTAGCTAAAGTTATGCTTTGATAAACACCCATTCTAATACGTACAGCAAGGGAAATGTTTTGAATTAAAATAGTAGAATATGGAGAACAAAAAGCACAGAGAAGAACAAAACAGTCTTATTAGTATATGAAGAAGATGCATCCATCAGTTATTTAGAGATGCATGTATTTGTTTAATATGAAAATATGCATATGTATATATATATATATATCCCCATGGTTGAGAAGATAAGTACATGGCAAACTAAATTGGACTTTTAAGAGAGAAAGCTTTAGCTAATGTCTCATTTTTATATATCTCCAAGGATGAAAAGTTTTGCAGATACAGAAAGATGTAGGAAAAGGGGAAAAAAAGGCAGCAACTCATTAGCTTTAATTGCAATATTTATAGCTAATTCATATGCAGTCTGTGCCCTGCATCAGAAGAAGTATTATTGAAAAGGAGACTCTTGATTTTTCCAAATATATGTTTTCATCATGAAATACAATTTGATTTTTTTATCTCCTAAATCAGCTCATGGAATCAAGCAAGGAAGGTCAAGTACTTTAAAAGCTTCTGAAATCTTGATTAAACTTTATAATTTTATAAAATTTCTAGTTTAGATTACCTCAGAAAGCAATCAAGTAATAGCAAGCTCAAAAAAACATTCAGCCATTATTCTTTAAAGATTCCAGTTACAGAAATACATTCCTCAGGACAAAACTTTTCCTGGTAGGGCTCACATGATTGCTTGCTCCTATTGCTCACATGTGAACATTTAGAACACATGGCCATTACAGCCATGTAAATTAAATATGATTTATTGTGTTTAACAGGAACTTAATGTACTTCACCAACATGAACTTACTTGTGGAATAGAATATGCAGTTTGGAAACCTCTGCAAAAGGTTATCTGCAAAAGTTAATTCATTTGCTAAAGAAGATTCACTTCATAACTAGATGTAAGAGCATCTAAGAGCAATGAAAATGCTACACATTGAAAATGTGGAAATCACCCTTGAATTCAGTCCACAGAATGAATCATAGAATGCTTTATTTTGGAAGGGATCTTTAAAAATCAACTAGTTCCAACCCTCACGCTATGGTCAGGGATATTTTTCAGTTGAACAGATTGCTCAAAGCCGCATTCAACCTGACACTGAACAACTAAAGCTCAGGAAAGAATTAGGAATACTATCTATTCAGCTGAAAATGAGTTCCCAAACTGACAGAAATACAAACAGTTGAAACACAATTGGCAATCAGTGCACATTTGAGATGCACAATTAAAAAAAAGAAAAAAAAAAAGGAAAATTCAAACGTGGTCACAAAAATTCTAGATGAATGTTTATGGTTTTATTTACATAGATTGTTCAATGAAAAGTTAAGATAGGCTGTGATGACTTTATCATATGTCAGTGGAGAACAGATATCTATTCGTAACTCACTGTGTGTTAATTGTGATCAACATACTCTTTTGGATTACATCTTTCTGATGTTTTAAGTATATGCGTTACCTTCAATAAAATACAGATACAAGTAAATATCTGTTGATCTGTTCTTATCTACCTGAAATCACCCCACAACATGAGCATTGCTCAATACCTTTTCAGTAGGGCATGGACGACTGAAAATACCCTGACCTAGCTAAAGCATACCTCTTATATATTCCTTTTTAGTCCTCCTTTAAAACACCATAAGTGAGCTAATGTTTTCATTACTAATTGAAGATCTTCCATGTTTTCCTGAACTTACAGATATTTGATGGAGAACCTGACAATTGGAGGTTTGAACTGTAGGGTAATTTGTGAACTGGCACTTTGGGGTAGGACTAATTCCCTCCAGCTATTTATTTTTTACTCATTTTTGATGTTAGGTGATTTTTATTTGTCTCCTGTTCTCAAATATCACACATATTGGACTCAAATTATGTTTCTTGGGCTGAAATGTGATTAGAATGTGTGATGGCTGATATCTTTTCATATTATTAGAATATTTAAAGCATTACATCTAACAAATTTTCAGCACACAAAAATGTCAGTAGAATGAAAAATGTTTCCTGTAGTCCCCTACATCAGGAAAGCTCTTTTAACAATTGTCCTTTGTCAGTGCCTCAGTTATATATTATTTCTGTTTGCTCTTGCTTTCAAGGTTACAATTTAGACAGCACTAAATGTGGTATTCCTCTCATCTGTCTTAGAATGGAAGATGCATTCAAGAATTGTCTCTCTCTTCCCTTGAATCACGGAATAAGTCTGGATAACTAAAAGGAGATTAGATGTTTAGGTGAGAGAAATCCCATTATCAGTGACCAATTGAACAGCTCAGCCCTACATCAAGGAAACTTCTCTTAGTAACACTACTTCTTTTTGGTTGGTTGGTTGGTTTTTGGGTGTTTGCTTGATTGTTTTTTTTGTTTGTTTTCAGCTTTACCCATGTGAATATCATCCTTCTTTTCTAAAGAAAAAGAAAAGATTAATTGTTGAATTAAATGAAATACAGACAGCGAAATTTTGACTAAACAAATGACAAAAGCTGTAACAACTCTGTTTTAAACCTTGTGGTAGATGTACTGTACCATTCCCCATGCAACTCAAACACTAGCAATATCATCAGGAAAATATAATATTGTTTAAGTACTATGACTACATTACCTAAAGCAAGACTATGTGGTATTAGTGACTATAGCTACTACACTTTTAAACAAAACGAGCTATTATTCTTGATTGTTTCATGCTATGCCCAGATAAAAAGCACCATTATTAGCATAGTAGCCTTTTAAAACGTACCATGTCATTTATCCAACTACAGAATTAGTTGGAGATAGTATTTTTTGTTTCAGGGTATGTTTTGAAGTGGAGTGTGAGAGTAGGAGCACAAATCCCACAGTGGGAGTTGTGCGCATACAGCTTCACACTGACTGTAACTCGTAAGCATTGCTTCCTTCTTCTGGGCTCTGTCATTGACATTAACTCAGATCCATATTGATCTACACAGCAAAATCCAGTAAGACACTACAAAGAATACAAGGCAAAAGACACAGTGCACATTACATGCTACAGTGTATTAAAGCTTAATTACTACAAGCATATAAAAGGTTGCTCCCAGGAGTTAAATTCTTTACAATAGCACCTAAGTCATGGTCTACAGGATGTGTATGAGGTATTTTACTGGGGCATAGTCCAAACTAGTTCAACAGTGATGGCGAATTCAATACACTTGGAAACAATTAAGTTGTTCCTTCTGATTCCAGAAGTGATTGATTATCAGTACAATGAAGCAAAACGAAATACTTTATTCTGGGAGCAAGCAACTTCACGTGGTACAACACTTCTCCATATTGCTAATCATGCCAGCTTTAACATGCCTTCACCACAAGATAATATATACTTAAAAGCAAGAAGCAAAGTAGAGGTGCAACAGCTGCAGATCCTTGAAGATGCTAAGTGTTGCAGTAACTTCTCTGCATTTGGATCGTATTAATGCCAAACTGACAGGAAGCCACCTCTCTTATCACACATCTACTCAGGAACCATAGGAGAATAAGACTAAAACTGAAATACATATAACACAACATATGCAACAGAACAGACATAGAAAGTAAAGTTTAGAGACAATGATGAAGAAGGAAACTGAAATGTCTGGACAATGAGAACAGGTCTCCAAAGATCACCACTGACAGTCAGACAGAATGCTATAAGCAACCAGGAAAAAAAGCTGTGAGGGGGAAGAGAGATGAGGAGAGACAAGGATATGGAAAAGCATGCCCTATTGACTTCATCCAAACCAGTAGCAGTATGATAGAAGGTAGACTAGAGAGGGGCTCAGAGCATGGTATACCGAAAGAAAATGCAAAACATGCCATCTCAAAAAAAAAAAAACAACAAAAAAACAACCCAAAGTTGAGAAACAAATACATTCAGTAACATCTTCATAAATGAGTTTAATAAATGTCATTTAAAATGGATGTGACATATAATACAAACTATCCATGGCACTTCCACTGGAACAGTACAACAGCTTTAATGAGTACTGTATTATGAATAACTGGACTCAAAACAGGACAGCAATGCACAGAATCAGTTATTTGGTTGTTGTTAATGGAAGATGAGATTGCAAGAGAACACAAACTACTGTATTTTAAGACGTGTTTTGAAGGAAGACTCTGGGGAAAGAAGGACATCAATGAAGGTGTGAATATGAAGACCATATGGCAGCACAAGGGCTGGTAAAGACGAAATATACATCGTCACGGTACAGTACAAATGAAAAAAGAGGACAGGAGATGTTAACAGTAAAGTCTGCTTTTCAAATGCAACATTCTGATACACCAGTGACTCCAAAAGGGGGGAAAAAAAGCCTAAAAAACTTATACTGTTTAATTTTATACTTCCTGCAAAGAAGTTAGTGCGTGAGTCACAAGAAACAATGGAGAGACAAAATGCTATTCTCTCTCCTCTTTGAGACTGGGGGCTCATATATAAATATACACACAGATATATATATACACACACACATAGACAGATGAATATATGTATGTATATATGTGTGTGCATATACAGAGAAAGATAGACAAAGATGTTATCTTCCTGTGTTCTTGGCAAGGAATTAGTCCTGAAGTTAGAAGGAGTGAAGGTAGGATTGAGGTTGGAAGGAAAGGTAACGAAGAGGGCATACCGCTTTCGGCTTCTGCAAACGACAAGAAAAAAATTGCAAATCAAACACTTTGATAAGAAATCAGCTGACACCAAAGCAAAAGCAAAAAAACCCTTTTTTTAAAAGTCTTCAAGGCTTAAAGGTTTTTCTGCTGAGAATGAGAACAAATATATGGATAGACAAGAGAAAATTTTACAAGAGGAGTATAAATGGGTTGCAGGAGGGAAGAATCCATGTTAGGTTTTCCTTCTTGCTTACTCATGTGGAAAAAATAGAGGGGAAAAAGGCAGGCAGAAATATGTCTAAAAGGGATTTCAGATACGGCCTTTGAATGTCTGCATTTTGAACTGTTGTTTTTTGCTATATATTCAACTTAGGACATTTCAGGTTCACGTTCTCCATGTTCCCTTTGCAATTTTCTATAAAAGAACCAAACCCTCCCTCTAAATTAGAGACAAAAAACAAAGACAAATTTCTTAATTTGTCTTTTTTTCAAATATCTTTCTTAATTTCTTAAGAAAAACAAATTTTAAGCTAAAATATTTGGCTTTTATCAGGGGCACAAAAATTTATTTAAGTGCTTCCTGTTCTTAATAATGCATTATAACATTCCCAGATACTAATTAGAGATGAAGGAATGGCTAAGTCATATTGTGACCTAGAACTACTAAAGTGCAGACCTTAGTAGCTTGTCAGAAACCCTCTAAGTTGATTTTTGTAGACTCAGAGGCCTCGTTCATAGCTGAGGAGTAGGTTAAACATTATTAAATAAAAAAAAGGAAAAATCTAATCATGGCTATTTTTATTAATCTTTAGGATATGTTGATGAGGAACAGTTGCCTAAAAAGATAAACATACTGTAGATACTTTACCCATTATATGAAAGCTGATTTGCATTTATCATATCGATATACCCTATATTTAGGCTTGAATATCTGCTTTTAAGCAATCCTGTAAAATCATAAATTGTTTATAATTAACTACCTAATCTTAAAAAAACTTACTATCAAGGTGTGCTTACTGTTTTGTGTAGCTTTATTAGTAGCCAAAAAAACAAGAAGAAAAAATCCATCTGCAAGCAGGAAGCTCAGCTACTGCTAACTTGTACAGCAATATTAGCTTGGATAGACTTCTGATTATTTATAATTTCTATTAATCTCAAATTCCCTATTGTGGAGTTAACAGAATTTGACTGTAAATCAGAAAGCTTTAGAAAACTAACATTTAGGTCACTGCCTGGGAAAAAAAAAGTGCATAAGTAAATTAGTATTTATACAATTCTACATATAATAAAGATATTAACAAAGTCAAATGAAAGTCCACATTGAATGGGATGGGACTATTTATCCTTAATGAGCTGGAAATTTACAAAGAATATTAAGCAATTTAGAATGCCCTCACATTACCACTTCTTTGCACTGCTTTAGCTCTGAGTGCAAAGTGATGATGGCAGATGAAACTGATCTTAAAAGGAAACTCTCTGTGTTAAGTAAACAATCAGATACAAAATTTACTGATATGGATATTTTATTATGACTAATAACAAAAATTAAACTGTTGGGAGTAAGAGCTTCTCATCCTTTAAGCACAAAGAATGCTTTGAAAATTTCCTCTGCTACTGGAAATACTATTCCTAGACCTGTCTCCATCATGGCAGGAAATATTACCTCTTAATAAAAGGGTGACACCTAGATGACATTCTAAACTTTTAGTTACATTTAACATTGTTCCTCTGAATTGTGAACTATATAAAAAAACCTCTCAATAGTTTTACTAAATATGGATGCAAACTACAGTCATAAAATCAGCACATATCTACTGTTAGTCACTCTCATAAAGACTGAAAGTTTAAAAATTCCCATTTCATTTTTATTAAGAACTTCAGATATGAGCAAAATAAAATATTTTCAATGTCAACATCAACAAATATAATTGGAAAATGACAAATTTATCTTGTTCAAATAGAGCTTGCACTTCTAAACCATGTTATTCTAACTTTTATCTTAATTCCCTATCTTTTCATTTAATAGGAGTGCAAGGAAATACAAGTATTCCTAGGAACTGAGAAACTTAAGTTTTGTTCCATTACCTTTCTGGTTAGACTAAAAGGCTCTAGATCAGAAAACCACAAATATGTAATTAACATACTTGGGTTGAAGAGTACAGGAACAAGTAGAACAGTAAAGATATGCTGCAGGTAGCTCTGTGATTCACCAAACAGTGTCTATAAAATTATCACTGGTTAATAAAATCATCAGATACTACTGTGGATCAGGGTTATAAGAAAATGTGAATATCTATCTTATATGTCCTCTTCTTGTTACATACATATTCACAAAATCAAGCTGTTAATATTCCTTTGTTACTATTGTTTTCTGCAATTTTAGGCTCTTTTTTCCTACTAAATTAATTAATTGCAAACTGTTACCTGTGTGGCTTTAAGTAAGAAGGAATATAAGTTTGCATCACATTGTGTTACTTTTTGTGGGATCCTCTGCATCACCTTGTGATTAACAACTCAATCCAACTCCCACTGAAGTTAGTGCAAAGAATGATACAGAAGCCAAGAACTATCTGTTATTACTGAAAGAGACTGTAATATTAGCACTTATGTATGTAAATGACAACTGAAGAAATGACAACCTAAATTTGGGCAATAATTATTAGGAGAAAAACAGAATCAATTTTTTTTTTAATAAAGATTGGGAAAACAAAATCTGATAAATAGTTCCACTGCTATTACTGTCAATTTTTCCTTTTTCTAGAGACAAAAGAAGAGATCATTTGCTTTACATTAGCTAATGTAGAATTAAATTATTCAATGAAAAGTATTTTAAGAGTCCATAGAAGCTGAAAACATTTTTGAAAAAAGATATTGAAAAAAAAAAAAAAAGGATTTCTTAATCAGTATAGTGTGAACAAAAAAGCATAGTCTGAACAAAAATAATATCCAATAGTACATACGCTGCTTCACATTTCACTTTATAACACAGGAAAGAATCAAGGAAAATCAACTATCGGGCATGGAAATACTCTTTTAAACAGTTGTAACATTGCATTTTCCATGTCAAATGCCCAACATAGGTTTTAAACATACTTTTAATAAACAAAAATTATGACATTTAGGAATAAACATTAAAATAAACTTGTAAAACCTCAGAAATTGTGGCATGAGTTCAAAGGACAGAATTGGATCTCCTGTGAGGAGAAACAATTGCCCTCAAAAGTGCCTTTTGGCCACTAAATGGTAATTAGAGGCCAAAAATAAGATAAACTAATATGTATCATTCCAGGTGTACTGCAGCAGTACAGAATATATATATCTTTCAAAAGAGGAAAATCAAATTCATCCAGACTCAGTATTATTTTTATTAAATGTTCCTCTAGATGTTGCAGACAACATTTATAACATTTTTGTTATGCAAAAATGAGTATTATTTACAACACTGACAGATGAGTTGATGGAAGTTTGATTCCAATGTTCGATCAGATTTTAATGAACTTTTGTAGGAAAAAAAAGCAAGAAACACTTCTTTTCCCATCTTTGAATCTTTACTAACAACAATGAATTTTTTTCTTTCTGGTTGAGGAAAGTAGCCAGCCAGTTGGTAATTTCAAGGCTAAATTTGTATTTTGAGAATACACATAGCCATAATGAATTTTGATATCACATCTGTTTTCCACTTATCCATTTTCAGTAAAGTAAGTTGGACCTCAGGTTAAAAGTGATACATTATGAACAAAAAATTGTTAGCTTTTCCATAAATAAAAACTAACTGCACTTCTAGAGATGGGACATATGTATTACTGTCTCTTCACCTTCTGCTAAATGTTCTGACTTGGATTAATTTCAGGGAGGAATAAAGCAGAAATAAGCACCTTTCAGTGCTGTGTGAAATGCTGTAATGTGATGGCATGCTAATTATATTCTGAAATGTTTCAAAGAATAGCTATGTTCATTCTGGGGGAAAAAAAAAAAAAAAAAAGCAGGCAAAATTCTTAGCAGTGCATTCCAGAACTTCAGAAGTTGAAGGTATTGGACATACCTGCTTTCACGTTTTTCCGACTTGTATTCTATGGCTATCATTAAGAGCTTTAGTTTCGCAAACACCAGTCTGCAGGAAAAGAAGAGGCCAAGAGTCAGTCTTTTTTCACAACCAGCATCACATATGTGAATTGGAGAATGTATTTTCCTTGAGAACTTACACTAATATCTTCCCCCATTTTTTCCATTACAGATACAAAGAATATATGTTAAGGTCTTTCTATTTTGAAGATAATTAATGCAGATGATCCTAAAAATATAATCTGAGAAGCTGATAACAATAGCATAAGCACCAACACATTGTGATACTAAGTCTACTTAAGCAATAATAACAAAGGCCATGATACACAACACAAAATTGCATCCAGCTGTATATACTGAAATAAAGTGAGAGTACACTATTAATAAGTCACTAGTTTCCAACTACTGTCTTTGGGGAACAGCATGACTAGAAGCAATTTGTGATCAATATATGGGAATTACATTCTGATACTGTAATACACGTTTTTTTCAGTCATTAAAGTCTGCTGAAGTGGTTATTTATTAAAACAACTTAAGGGTGATATTCATAGACTTGCAGAAGTTAGCATACCACCATTTGCTTCGAGATAAGAGGTTCCATGAAAATAAAATAAGAAACTGAGTTTTTTTGGGTTTCAATAATGAGAAACCATTTTTCAATTCTATCATTGAAATGTACGCAAAGTCAATGCTACTTACTTCCTGTTCTACAGATGTGTCACAAATGACTCTTGGGTTGATCCTGCAACTAGATGGCTGCCATTTCCTTGATCATACACTAATTTCTCCAGGACTCACTGTTTTTCTACCAACTTCTTTACTTCAGTGTTCTTAATACTTTTGCATGTATTTCAATAATATTTATCTTCTTTAAGCAAATTAAGCAATATTATTCATACTTTGTATCAATCACATACTTATCTGAAATCAAGGAATTGGCTACTGAACTGATAATATTCAATTTCTACAATAACAAACAGGAAATGTGTCTAATTTAATATACATTAAGAGGACTGCACACATTTCATATGCTGTTTCTACTGGTAGGTCAAGCATCAATCCACAGATGGCTAGTCTCATTAGGAAAATTTTTGGGTAGAAATAGTGGGCCTAGAACCAGGGTAGGGGGAGACAATTGGCATTTTGGTTAGTTTATCTTCAATCAGCATTGTCCACACCTGGACCAGCAATATCCAAGGGTACAGAATGTTAGGAATTACATTTACATATTGAAAATATGTTATCGGAATATGTCCATACAGTACACACATGTATAGTTATAAATAGAACTTGCAGACTGATACTAACTTCTTTTGCCATCTAATTCTTCACCCAAGTGTTGACACCAAAAGCTTGAAATTCTTCAACAATACTGAGTGTCCCATCCCCACTGTCTCTGCACTCTCTTTATGTTTCTTATCCAAACTGTATGCCAGCCTATTTACCAAAGAATGTCATTCCTAGACTGGCAATTAAGACCCATAACCTGAGAAAGCAGAACATCTCGTTTCATTTCAGACTTTTAAAATGTCATTGACTGCAAGAATTTTAAAAGCTTCACTACAAAAGCTGTTCTCAAAGTCTGTATATTTCATGGGTAGTTGAATACACTAAGCTTATCCACTGGTTTAATTTCCCCTGCACCAGTCAATGCAGTGAACTTTTTGTGTCCTTCGGTTCTTTTGGAAATTGAATACTCAATTCTTACAGGAATGAAAATACCTAAACTCATTAATAAGCACCAAACACATTAATAAGCAATACTGATTTTTAATTTTTAATGTGCTTTAATTAACCTGAAATTAATAGAGTTATAAAGTGGTGAAAATTTTGAGATAAATCTTTTTGCTTCATTTAAACTAGTAAACACAGTTTGCTGTTTCAGATAGCCAAATGCTTGAGGAGAGCTCCAAAGTTTAGATGTGTTTCCAAATCTCAATAAACACCCTTTATTGATTATTTTATCTCCATTCTACCAGAACAGTTAAATGAATGACAGCTTTATATCAAATACAGTCTCAGTCACATGTTTCTACAAACTCGTAGAAACTCGACATGTTTGAAAATGGTTTGCAGATTTAATTTTCATGACTGTAGGTAGTGTAAACAGCACAAATTATCATTCATTCTGAATATAATACACATTTCTGTGATATGAGGTTTTCAATTTCAATATATCCAGGCAGACTTTTGTAATTTAGTAATACACTTTTCCCCTCAGTAACCTAGTGACATTTTGGCTGACACTGTGAAAGGATGGACTGTAAGCCCCTAATTTTAGTAGCAAATTGAAGACCGGGCTCTGTCATAGCTACATCTTAGACAAAGACAGATCTTTAAATGGATAATATTTGTCTAACAGTTGTTTCTCCCTCATTTTTATGCCATAACCTATGTTTATGGTCCTGTAAAAATTGAGAAAGGAGGGAGCAGTTAGAGGATAGAAGGAAAATCATCCTTTACATAAGAGATGTTATTTTACCTCTTCCTCTGTTTCCTCCTCTAAGAATAGAGTTTTCAGAACTTTTTCTGTGTTAACTAGTTCAACATCAAACACTTCAGAGCAGGGTCTCCTTTTTATTTAGCATTTGAACAATCCCTAGCAAAAGTTGTCCAAAGCATCTGTCGTGACCTTTCAGTATGGTTGGAGTGAAGGGCAATGCCAACTGAAGAGGAAATATAAACCAATCTGATTATGTGGCCAAGGTATTTGTCATAGAAACCTTGTGCATAAAAATCTCTCATTCATAGACCCATTCTAGGACAAATATAAGCATTTTCAGTCTCTAGAAATAAAGCTGTAGAATGGCTTATGCTATGGTTATGGACTATAAGCTTCAAATACTCCTTTCTCATAACAGAATTGACATATCTTTTCTGATATATTTCACTTGTTACAAGTGGTTTGCAACCAGTTCCACGGAGCTCTGGGTGTAACACTGGTTGTGACTTCACAACATCTGTTTAAATTAATGAGTAATTTCCTCAGAATGGGACATTAGCCAAGATGGTGATGCTGACAACCACTATTCAAAGAATGGGAATCATTAGAAGAAACAATAGAACAGCACTTGTGAGTAAATAACTCAATTTAAATGGATTGCTGACGAATTTGTTCAACACTGAAAACATTCATGCTTTCATTTACAACCACTTAATTCCAAATCTATTCTGGAAACAGGCATTACAATGACTCAGATACTTCCATGCATTGATCGCTTTAGTATTTATTAGATACCATATGAAGTAGCAACATTAGGTCTTTAGCAGAGTAAAAAAGCCTCCTGCAAAAACCAGATTTCTCTTGAGAGAGGGCAAATACTTCCATATATTAATATTTATTTCTACTTACTCACAAACTGCAGGGAAGGACAAACCCACAAAGGCACTAGACAGATATTCTGTATACATTTCATTTGCTACTCCTTCCAGGTAGTATTTCTGCCACGTATCCTCCTCAATCTAAAAGAAACAAGATGCAGAGTTCTGAGTAAAAATCACAGCTTTCTTTAAAATTCACAAAAAACTGCTTAAATATGAATAACATTTCAACAAATAAGTCAGTAGAATGTTATGACAATTAACATTGCTTATTCTTGCAGGATTTCCTGAAATGCTGAAAACAAACCAAAACAGAGTCCCTGTAGTAAGAAAAATCAAGTATCCTATGTAAAAGTAATACACTTAATTCTTGTCAAGCACATTTATCAAGGGGTTAAATAAGGTTGTATAAAGCTTAAGGAAAAAAGTTTCTCAATTTTCTTTTTTTGAAAATCATAGAATCACAGAATGTTAAGTGTTGGAAGGCACCTTAAAGACCATCTGGTCCTGACTTCTCTGCCATGGGCAGGGATGCCTCCCACTAGACCAGGTTGCTCAAGGCCTTGTTTAATCTGGCCTTGAACTCTGCAAAGACTGGGACATACACAACCTCCCTGGGCAACCTGTTCCAGTATCTCACCACACTCACAGTAAAGAATATCTTCCTAACATCCAGCCTAAATGTCCCCTCTTTCAGTTTTTACCCATTACTCCTTGTACTTTCACTACAGCTCCTGTTGAAGAGTCCCTCTCCAGTTACACTGTAGGTCCCCTTCAGATACTGGAAAGCTGCTAGGAGGTCTCCACACAAGCTTCTCTTATCCAAGTTGAACAGCTCCAGCTTTCTCAGCCTGCTTTGTAGGGGAGGTGCTCCAGTCCTCTTCTTAACTTTGTGGCCCTCCTCTGGACTTGCTCCAGAGGTTGCATTATATTGTTATATAATTGTCTCTAACAATGTCTCAAGTATTTTCACCTTGTTTAGAAGTTATCAGCTGACAAATCTGTTTATTTAATTTTTTTTTCTTCTCTGCACCTATAACTAAAAAGGAAATATGAGAACAATACATTGAAACAATTTTTTCAATGTTCATCAGTGCTTTAGGAGAGCTAATTAAAAAAAAAAAACCTCTACTGCTAAATTCAGAGGTCTTTTACTACCAAAGGTACACAGGAAAACAAGTTGGAGGTGCTACAGGACTACCATAAAAACTATATATTTGCCTAAGCAGAAGTTTTTAGTGATATTTGAGACACACATGCAGTCCCATATAGCTCCCAGCTGCTGCCCTGGAGTCCATGGATGCCATGTCATAACTATAAAGCTTATGCCTTAGACACTCCATAAGGTCTTTCAATTAGCATCAAACACTTTTATATTAAGGTAACTAGTTCAAGCCACTGAGCATCCCTCATTGGGAATAGCACTATAATTCCAAAGGGCAAGTACAAAGTCAGCTGATACAACTGGATAAATGTCATATGCTGAAGTTCACTGTTTAAACCCCAGTTCTCTATACCATAACTGGTGCCCTCATAACAAAGTTTGTTTGAGGTTTTGATTGTCATTCACAAAGAGACCTTTTTAGAAAAACTATGGAAACCATCACAAACACACAGCATGAAATACCTAAGGAGTCCTAACAGTCACTTCCCTACATATTACATCACATTAAAATAGAGCAAAAATTTCAACCACAATGGAACATTCCTGTGTGTAATTATCTTTTTGGCTTTATTCACTAGCTGTGCCACATAAACTGTGCTAACAGAGAAATTCATACTTGCAAGAATTATACACATCAGCAAAAAAATTGTACTATAATACAGTATAGATAAAATTAGAGAGAAACATGTCAATTACATCAGCGTAGCAAAATAATGTAATATATTTCTTTTGTTACTTTTTACATTACCACATTTTCATTAACCAGAGTCTATCTGACTATATAGTAAATAGGGAAGAAGTAAAAAGAGAGAATGAGAGATTAAAGGTTTTAATTTTTCTCAAATAAGGCAGAATATTGTGTTCAGTTTTGATTACCACAATATAGGAAAGATATAAAGATATTAAAGAGCATCCAAAGAAAATCTACAAAGATGGTGAAGGGTCTGGGGGAAGCCATAAGAGGAGTGGCTGAGCTCGCTTGGGGTTCACCAATTTTTTGCACTCTTTCAAAAAAATGTTCTAAAGAACAGAAGGATTGAAAACTTTTTAAGAAATCAGTGAAATATAAGTTACAATTTTTTTTTTGTTTGTTATAGTTCCCTTCTCCTGTTGATAGGCTGCCAAGTAACCAGTTAGTTTAGTTCTGGAGATGTAAACAACTGCAAGAATAAATTGCAACATGGAGATGTTCCAAATCATATATTCCCTGACAAGTGGGCTGCAAACAATCAAGAAAAATTTCTTCCATAGAAATTGTTTCACCGTCCAGAGACCACGTGGGATGGTAAAAGGGATTTGCATTGTGTTATTCTCCACCACACACAGAGAAGTCATATCACATTTTTTATAACTCTTTTATTTATGGGAAACTTTCAAATGTTGCTGATCAGCAACTCTATATACAGAAAACAGATAAAGTGCAGGCTTGGTAAAAAAATAAGAGTAATGATAGCAAGGGCATGTTTGTAACTTATGGTCTATTTTGTGGTTTTTTCTTAGATTGACACCACCTGGGGTTAGGAAAAAAACCCAAATACATTATGTGTTTCCCTTTCTACTTTCTTTCCTTGCTTTCTTTTCTTTAGGCAGATGGTTTTGATTTGGAGGAAGGATCAGACCTATAAACAAATATTCACCCTCTGTCAAGGACCAAGAAAGGACTGGAAAAAACCAAACTCATTCACAAATTAGAGATCAAGCTTCACACATACCAGTTAGTGTTAAAATAACCTTCATGAAGTGATTGGAGTGTTTAAGATATGTTCTATTAGGATACCTTGAATTGTTGATTAATGAATTTAAAGAATACTTGATATTTGGGATGCTATAAAATTCTGTTGTAAAATCATTGTAACACTGTACTAAAGATGATAATTCCATTTTATCTCCATCTGAACCATGATGTTTTCCTCGGGATTTCAAAGAGACATAGTCACCTGCCTGGTATCTTCTGAAAGGCAGTACCTGCTGGTCTGCTAGAAATGAAATTACTATTAAGAATCATCAGTATTCAGTACTTCTTTTTTATTTCTTTGAGTCCTGCAGTTACCATAAGTTTTAATAGAGTAGGGTCCCACAGACAAACATTATCAGTTTCTCCTATAATCCATGTCAATTAGATACTAATTTCAAAATCCTAAAAGTGATGAAAAATATTTTGGGACTCCTTATGATCTTGACTAATTTAAGCCTTTGTGATGTTGTTTTAAAGTCTATTGCTTCAGTTAATCTCAAGAACTGAATCCCAAAATAAATCTGATTCTTTATAATGTGCGTTTATTTTCCATTAAAATACTTAACCATAATGTAAATTACTGTTGTCCAGTGCATCTCTGGGCCTTAGATACTTATCTACTACTTGTCCATACTTATCTCTACATTAAGAGTAGGTTGCACAAACTTAATTGTTAATGTAGAGATGAAATAATCTATCCCATATGCACTTACAAAATGGATGTTTCACGTGTCAGTTGCCTGACAACAAAGGGGAATAAGAAAATTTTATGCAAACATTATAGAAACAAAAAGAGTTGAATTTGAGGTGAGTTCAGTTCAAGATGCTACTAATTAATGTTACCACAAATGTAAAAACGTAAAACTTTGAATGGTATTTACCTAGTTAGTGAAAGACAAACAACCTTAATTTTAACTTGCAAAACAGAGAAAAGGTTAAATTAGTTTCAATTTTACAACTATTATTAAGACAATTTTGTCACTTCAAATAATTACTAGTCTACCCTCTTTCAGGTCCTGACAGCAGTGTTTGAATACTTGTACTTTCTACCTTTGTACAGAATGAATTAACAGAGTGGACACGAAGAGATTTCATTTCAGTAAAAAGTATTTTGTGGTAAAGCTTTGCCTGTTGGCTGAACAAACACATTCCAGCAGAAAGCACAAATCTATATCTATTAAGTATTGTGGGTTCCAGGAAGCCAAATATGCTATTTTATTTCTGAGATCATTGTGACACCAAGCTTTACCTACTGCTTATCATTATTTCTGTGGACAGCTGTCAGTTTGAGAAATCAGGAATTCTGATCATAGAATCACATAATTACTTGGGCTGGAAAGGACCTTTAAAGATGAACTAGTTCCAAACCCCCTGCCATGGGCAGGAACACCTTCACTAGATCATCCAACCTGGTCATGAAAACTTCCAGGGATGGAGTATGCCATCCTCAGACAATTTATTGTTTATTAAAAAATACTGACTTGGCATTAAGAATTTGTGAATAATTAAGCCATCAAATATTGATTTGGAATGAGGACATGTGTCTTTGCTGGCAGAGCAATTAAAGCAAAATTTAATGCCAAAAAATATTTAGAATAGAATAAAACACTGAAGTGAGGAACAACACAAGAGCAGCAACAGACATGAGGAGCACAAATAAAACAGCAGTGAACCACTTCAGTGGGGAAAAATAGCCAACAAAAACCCCCAACCATATTATTTGCTATCATTTCTTCTTTTCTGGCATGGTATTTCCATTTTCATTTAGCCTCAAACACAGGCCTCTATAGATCTTCTATAAAGTGTAACTGTTGAATGAAGATACAATAATTGATCAAGGGTAATTCTAAACCCCTCCCTTTTAAAAAAAAAAAATAATTGGACTTTGTTTACTCGTCAAATGTTTTTTGACTTCAAGCATATTCCCAAGCAATGACAAAAGGCTCTTTTATATGCCTTTCCTTACAGAAAATGAGCATCAGCCTTTATGAGAGACCTTCTCCTACATGATCCTAAGGAGTAGGCTTGGTAGATCATTCTGTTATTTTTATCCCTGAAGTTAAATAACTAAAATAGTTCAAGTTGATACTGCAGCAACATGAGTAAAAGTAACATTCTAGAAAGATAACAAGGCAGCACAACTGGCAGTTGATGCAGCAACAAGGATTCATTCACTATCTTATACAGGTGACAGCATTATAAATTATTTAGACTAAGTAGATGGCATTGTCCTCTGATTTC